AAAGTATATGATCTTTGTGATATATTGTTGTAATTTCCTTACTAGTATTTTATTTAAAGTTTTTGCCTTGATATTAAGGAAATTAGCCTATAATTTTCTTTGTCTGTTTTTGCTCTCCTGGGCTTAGGTATCAAAATGATATTTATATCATGAAAGGAATTTGGTTGGACTCCTTTATGAATTTTTTCAAATAGTTTATACAGTGTTGAGATTAACTGTTCTTTAAACATTTGGTAGAATTCTCTTGTAAATCCATCTGGTTCTCAGGATTGTTTCTTAGGGAGCTCATTTATGGCTTCTTCAATTTCTTTTAATAAGATAGGGTTATTTAAGGATTCTATTTCATCTTCTGTTAATATGAACAATTTCTATTTTTGTAAATATTCATCCATTTCACTTAAACTGTCAGTTTTGCTGGTATATAATTGGGCAAAATGACTCCTAATAATTGTTTTAATTTCATCTTCATTGGTGGTACATTCAACCTTTTTTTTTGATACTGGCAGTTTAGCTTGGTTTTTTTTTTTCTTTCTAAAATTAACCAATGGTTAATCTATTTTTATTGGTTTTTCCATAAAACAAATGCCTACTGTTATTTATTAACTGTATTTTTTGTTTTGTTTTGCTTTACTTTCAATTTTACTAATCTCTCTTTTGATGTTCAGGATTTCTATTTTGGTCTTTAATTAGGGATTTTTAATTTGACCTTTTTTCTAGTTTTTTAAAGTTCCATGCCCAATTCATTGATTCGTTGTTTCTTTCTTTTACTGATGTATGCATTTAGAGCTATAAATCTTCCCCTAAGTATTGCTTTGGTTGCATCCTACATATTTTGGTGTTTTGTCTCACTGCTGTCATTCTCTTTAATAAAAGTATTGTTTCTGTTTCTTCTTTGAGTCACTCATTCTTTAAGCATATTTGGTTTCCAATATTTAGTCTATTCTCCACTGCCATTTATTAAATGCAATTTTTTTTTTTTTTTGCTTTATGGTCTGGAAAAGGTACATTTAATATTTCTGCCTTTCTATATTTGGTTGTGAGGTTTTTATGACCTGATACGTGGTCAATTTTTGTGAAGGTGCCATGAACAGCTGAGATAAAGGTATACTCTGTTTTATTCCCATTCAGTTTTCTCTAGAGTTCTATCATATTTAACATTTCTAAGATTCTATTAATTTCCTTAACTTCCTTTTATTTAATTAGATTTATCTAGCTCTGAGAGGGAAAAGTTGAGGTCCCTCATTAGTAAGGTTTCACTTTCCTCCTGTAACTTTTCCTTTAAGAATTTGGGTGCTATGCCATTTGGTGCATAAATATTTAGTATTAATATGACTTCATTGTCTATGGTTCTTTCTAGCAAGATGTAATTTCCCTGCTTCTGCCTTTTAATTGGGTCTATTTTTGTTTTTGCTTTGTCTGAAATGATTACTATCCTTGCCTTTTTTACTTCAGCTGAAGCATAATGGATTCTGTTCCAGACCCTTATTTTAACTCTGTGTGTCTGTTATAAGTATGCTTCTTATAAAAAACATATTGTTGGATTCTGTTTCCTAATCCATTCTATTGATGTCCATTTTATGGGTGAGTTTATGCCATTCACATTCATAGTTGTCTTTACTAACTGTATTTCCCTCTATTCTATTTTCTTCTGTTTATCCTTTTCTCTCTCTTTTTCTGCTGTGTCTACTTTAAAGTCTGTTTTGCTTTTGATCACTGCCTTCTACTCTCTTCCCCTATTTCCCTGTGGGGTAAGGTAGATATCTACAACCAACTGAGTATGTGGGTATATTCATCCTCCTCTGTGGACCAATTTAGATGTTAGGTTCAAGCACTGCCTGTCTGCTCCCACCATTTTCTCCTCCGCTGTAAAGCTCTTCCTTGTGTGCTTCTTTTACATGAAACTATTTTCTTCCTCTCCCTTCCCCCTTCTCCCAAGGCATCTTTCTCACCTATCCATATTTTTTCATATCACCCCAACATAACTGACTCATCTGACACCCTCTATGTAGAATTCTTTTAATAGTCCTAATAATGGCAAAGCTCTAAGAAGAAATACATATACATTCCCCTACAGAAAATACATTATATATGGAAATACATCCAAAATATAGAAATACATTCTCCTGTAGAAAGCTAAACAGGTGAACCTCATGATTCTTTTTTTTTTTTTTTTTTTTTTGCTTCTCTTGAGTCTTGTATTTGAAAGTTAAATTTTCTATTCAGCTCTGATCTTCTCATCAGGAATACTTGACAGTCCTCTATTTCATTATATATCCATTTTTCCCCCCTTGAAGAATTATACTCAGTTTTGCTGGGTAGTTCATTCTTGGTTGTAATCCCACCTTTTTTGCTGTCTGGAATATCATGTTCCAAGCCCTCTGTTCCTTGTAACATGGCAGCTGCTAAATCTTGTGTGATGCTGACTGTGGCTCCATGGTATATGAATGGTTTCTTTCTGGCTGCTTAGAGTATTTTCTCTTTGACTTAGAAGCTCTGGAATTTGGCTATAAAATGCCTGGGAGCTTTAATTTTGGGATCTCCTTCAGGTGGTGATCAGCGGATTCTTTCAATTTCTATTTTAGACCCTTTAGATCTAAGATACCAGGGTGGTTTTCCTTTATAATTTCTCAAAATATGATGTATAAGTTCTTTTGTTGATCATTGCTTTCTGGCAGTTCAATAAATCTTAAATTATCTCTCATCTTTTTTTCCAGATCAGTTTTCTGATGAGATATTTAATATTTTTTATTCTTTTGGCTTTATTGTTTCATGATGTCTCATAGAATCATTAGCTTCCAGATGTCCAATTCTAATTTTTAAGGTATTATTTTCTTCAGTGTACTTTTATGCCTCCTTTCCTATTTGGCCATTTCACCCTTTCAAGGAATTATTTTCATCAATGAAGTTTTGAACGTTTTTTTCCATTTTTTCCCCCAATTTTTTAAGGTGTTTTCTTCAGTCTTTTTTTCTGTGTGTGTACCTCTTTTACAAACTGTTGCCTTTTCATAATTGTATTCCTTCACCAATACCCCTAATACTTAACCTAATTTTTCCTCTACCACTGATTTTGAATGTAATTTTTTAAAATCTCTTCCAGGAATTTTTGTTGGGTTTGTGTTCTATTCACATTTCTTTTTCCTTTAAGGCTTTGCTTCTGTTTTGATTTTGTCATCTTCTTCTGAGTCTGTTTCTTAATCTTCCCTATTGCCATTGTAATTTTTTTAATGACCACGGTCTTTTTTGTTTGTGTTTGCTCATTTTTCCACCCTAGTTCTTGATTTTGAACTTTGTTAATGTTGGACTCTGTTCCTGGCATGGGAAGGGAAGGGGCAGGCTCAGGCTTTTTTTGTACTACTGTTTTCAGAGCCAGTTCTGGGAGTTTAGAAGTTTTCATTGCTCCCAAGGTGGTGTGTGACTACTGAGAGGTATATATTGCTCCCCATCTCTGTTCTGGTCCTTACTCAGGAAGGGCCCCTTATCCCTTGAGACTGCAAGTGATACTGCTCTTCAAAGCTATTGTTCTCTTCAGACTGGAAGTGATATTGCTGCTTAGAGTCCCTGATCCCTTGTTACCCAAAGTGATGCTGTTCCTCAGGGGCCCCTGCTCCTTCTTGAACCTTGAGCTGCGACCCAGAAGTGGGTACAGGCAATGGAGTTGCCAAAAGGTCCAGTCCCATGTTGTGTCTTAGCACAGGGGTCCCTTGTAATCTCTTTCTGACCAGTTGCTAAGTCCCTTTACTAGCCCTGGCTTGAGAGTTCCCAAAGCTGCTTCTGTTTCTGCTGCTTTCACTTTGTCCCGCTTCTAGTGTTTCATCCACATGGGTTCAGGGCCAGCATTCACCCCACATATCACAGATCTCTCCTTCCAAACCTCCTAAAAGTTGTCTTGGGCTGGAAGAATGTCTCACCCTGTCCTTTTTGTTGGCTCTGCCACTCCAGAATTTCATTTGAGCCATTGTTTTAAAGTCGTTTGAAAGGAAACGTTGGGAGCTCAGTTCAGTGCTTCCTCTACTCTGCCATCTTGGTTCTCACCCCTCCTCAAAAAAGAAATTATCAAAAGGCAATTCCCCTACATTTTTTGAAAAGGTAGTTGACTACTACTAGTATTGAATGCTGTACATTTCAGCCTTTTTTGATGTGTTAATTAATTTTGCTAAACTTTTAAAAATTCTTTTTTTTAAATAAGAGATGTTCTTCTAAAGAAAGGTACACATTTGAAAATGTAGGTGATGTAAAAATTAAATATACCAATAAAATTAAAAATTAAAATGAATAGTTTAAACTATATGATCTATGAAATCCATTCTAGTTCTAACGTTACAGATCTTATGAGGCTACAGGTCTTTAGGAAGATAAGATTTAAAAAAAATATGGAGTAATTTCTTAGCAATTTACAATGAGAAAATCCATAATTACAAATCTCACAGGAAACACTTTGCTAGCCTCATACTGCAGAGTGACTTTTGAAAAATAGTTATCTATTAGTTGGTGTGTTATAAGGAGGCAAGGGGGAGGGAGTAAAAGACATGATAAAAAGGGTTCAACAATTATTCAATGAGGAAAAAAAAAAGACAACACTAGGCAGAAAAGAAATTATCATGGCTTGGCAGCAATCATACAAATCTTGGATTTAAAGTGACCATACCTCTTTGTCCATCAGAACACCATATATACTTTACCTGAATTATCTGGAGCCCTGCAATTTTGAGATAGCAATATAGATGATCAGATAAAGCCTAGAACAAATAGAGCTCTTTAAGAAATTATTAGAAAGGCAGGAATCCTGCTTCAATTGTCTTTTTCAGTAACTATTTCTCTGTCTCTATTTTCCCACTGGTAAAATGTTTCAAAAATCACATAGTTATTTTGGAATTTAGAATGCAGAATAATTTAAGCATATGTTGCAGAGAACCTCATACTTTATTCTTAAGTTGGCCTAAAAAGTGAAATGAAACCAATAAGATGTTCACTGCAAAGCAAATATATTTATTATGTACTTTCATATACATAAGGATTTTGCTTAATATAATACAAGGAATAAAATAAAAATTTTACAATGTGAAATTCAATGTACATTATAGGCTATTTACAACCCAAAGCCAGGGATAAAGAAATTAAAAACAATAGTTTGCAAACTAAATTTGCTGAAAAGTGTGAGTGGAGGACCTTAAACATAAACAAACAACATTTGCATAGCAGAAACAATAATGAGAAAAGTAACAGCTTGATCTTTTGGGATAACAATAATACTTTCAGTAAGAACTTGGGAGAGAAAAGACTAGAGGCATCATTACTGTCCTTTGCTACTATTTTTGTTTTGATATGTTTCCCTCCAAAACCTTTCTCCATGTGCATACAGATGTTAAATATTTTTTGACAGAGTCCTTTACAGCTTCCCCCATTATCACCTTTTAAGGAGAATGGAATGATATACAAACAAGGGGGATGATGGAGAAACAGCTGCAGAGATAAGGCTTGAAATATTCAAATTTCAAGAACATCAGAACACTCTGGAACAATTATTTTAGTTTGTTTTGTAAGGTGGAATAGAGGCCCCAGTGGCCATGCCATTCAGTCACACAAACATCCACGCAAAGCAGGACATCTCCTAACACCCTTAACAGAGCAGTTCATGCCTTATTGCAAAAAGAGAATTTACACAAAATGTCTGTAGGAAAACTTACTTTTGAAAAATCATACCTTTCAACAGGTATTTTTTGGTTGTTTTCAGATTAGTGACTTTATGAAGTTCCTACCAAGTTTCAAGTGTAAATAGTATGGATATGAAAACATTCAACTCTGAAAAACAAGCCTTTGTGAAATTAATCATATTCTTTGCCCTTTGGCCACAAGGTGCATTTTTTGTAACAAATAAAATAAAATTAAATAAATAGAATCCAAACAACTCAAGGTTAATAGAAAACTGACAACTTTTAGGGTTCTCCTTCTAAAGAAAAATACACCTAATAAGTAGAGCTCCATCTTCCAAAACATTGTAAATGTACTAAGCTTGAGGAGTGAGTCAAGTCTGTGCTAATACTAGGATGTGTTCATATTTACTTAAGGAACCATTAACACTCTTAAGGCTATTTTGCAAGAGTTTTGTTTATTTTATAAATGTCCCATAGGGATAAGAAATTCAGTACTTGAAACATTCACATTAGAGTTATCAATATTGCCATGTCACCTTAACAAATTTTAAAACTTATCCTACATTTCTGATTATTAAAGATTCATAACTGATGTCATAAGTTAAACAAAATGAGCTGCACTGATTTAAAAATGAATTTTAAAATAAGATTCAAATGGAAATAGTAACCAATTAAACCTTTCCATGGTCTTGAATATTCAACATGTCACATGTACATGTATGAAGATGACCCTGCTGATCTAATAGTAAAATGGACTTTTTCATGATAGTGGTGATGAATTTGTGCTAGCTCATCCATACTCTTACCTGTCTGATCAGAGGCCAACAAACAGCACACATCTTGACAAATAGGAAGCCAAAGGTTGAAACCTGTGGTCACAAAAGTGTTTCTTTGTGCAAGGCTAAGTAGCCCATACCAGGATCTCAATCATGCACCTGGCTGTAACCATGACCATGTTCTAACTAGTTAAGCTAAACGTCACCAAGAAAAATATACATACACGCATCAGTTAGCTCGATTGGTTTAAGGTCCTGATACTCAACAAGCCAAGGTGGTTTTAAACTCACAGGATCTGATTACCTTTCCTTTATTTCATGATCACACAGTGATCTTGGCAGCTGTCTCAGCAATATATAGAGAAATGGGAGGAGTTCATGGAAATGTATCATCACTACTAGCCAAAGAACTGACACACAGTCTTAATGTTGGTCAGTCTGCAGTACTCTCCATGAAGGATGGCATACGTTACATTCATCTCAACAAGGCATATTGAATGGAGCCCTGGATCTACAGTCAGGAATATCTAGGTTCTAATTCTACCTCAGATGCCTAACTAGCTATGTGACCTAAAGTAAGTCACTTAACCTCTATGGGCCCCTGGTTCCTCATCTGGAAGATGACAGATTGAACTTAATGAACTGTAAGGTCCTTCCCAGCTCTAATTCTATGATCCTATGATTTCAAAAATATTCACTCAACAATTTAAAAGTCAATACAAAAAAAAGTTTTTATGAAGCTATTTGGTTGTACGCTGATAGAAATAGCTGAGATGCATGACTTCAGAATAAAATTGTGGAGAAATATTATTTAATTTGGAAAGAATAAGTAAGACAGTGGTCAATGAACTGTCTGTTCCAGCAAGAAGTGTAGTTTCCATTTTCTAGATAGATGTCTCTCACATTACACACAGACAACTGAAGCATGGATTCAGCCCTGAGAATTTTCATGCCTTAAGAAGAATGGTATACATCACTGGGGGTGGAATGACCAGAGGAAGATTAAAGGGTGGCCTAATGAATGAAACAGTACCCTGATCTGCTTGCTTTTTTGTTTTCTGATGCCCTTAAACATAGATGAGAGGTACTATCAGGGCAAATTCATACTTAATTATTTAAAACTTCCTTTGATTGCTTAAGAATAATTAAATAACTCCTTACCAACGATTTTTTTCTTTTTTCTTTTTCTTTACCTACCCTGTGGCATTGAAGTGTAATCTTGCTTTTATTCAATGAGCATTAAAGTACAGAGAACAGGAGGTGGCTTAACAAATAATGTGAAATTTGCTTTTCTTGAAAAAAAAAAGTTAATGACACAAGAAATAAACCATACACTACAACAATGCAAATGTTATTTGATCTGTATGTCTAGTTTCTTTCGCCACAAAACCAAAAATAAATACAAGGAACACTTGACTGTGGCACATGCAGATATATCAAATCTTCTTGAACTATTAACTCAAAATTGCTTTCTCAAATTTTTTTTAGCTTGTATCAGGGAAATGTAGTCAATATGTATCTGCATTTAAGAAAAAAAGTGCTTATTCTGTGTAGTGAATACAAAGTACACAAAATAAAATTCTGAAGCACAGAGGATTACACTGAGAAGGCAGCCTTAAAATGTAGGCACGTTACAGTAACGAAGGTAACTGTACTGCAGAGATCACAGTCTTCATTTCTCCAGCCGTTCAACAGGCATCATATGCTTTTGTCCCAGGCAGCCGATGAGCCATGCTAGTGACAAATGTCTCTGTTTCACAGAAATGGGAACTAGTGCAAACATTAAAAAAAAAAAAGTATTGATAATTAATTTTGGTATTTAAAAAAGTACAGTAATATCTTAACATCACACAAGCATAATATTTGTTAATATCATGAAAACAAAAACAGGACTAGACAGGCATAATTGCCGAATTGGCTCCATATTGGCCAAGGTACTCAGTTCAGTCCATAAATGTTCTGCATCTTGAAACACTGACTGCATTTGCAAAGGATTCTCAGAATAGTGATAAGAATTTATCATTGGATTTCAGCTCTGTTAAAAGCCTTGTTAAACATTCCTTAACATTGCACCAAAGTATGAGAGAGTACTATCTACTGCTGGGAGTAGTGAACACCAGGCATAACAACCTTCCACCAACTCCACCAGGCAGCCTAAATTCCAATGGCAGTATGAGAGGGCTTCAGCATTACAGATCGAGTAAAAGCAAGATGTAATCAGAAAGAGAAAAAAGGATAAACGTGATGGGAACAAAGTATCCGTCATAAAAGTAAGTCTTTGAAGAACTATATACTAGACTCTTAATATGCAGAACACTTGTTCTTAATGCAAACCTATGTTGACAAAATCTTGCCCTCCTTCTCCCATTACACTTAGTAAACGTTCATGTAGGAGAAAAAAAAAGTTTTTATTTGGCATACTGGCTGACTTTAACCATATTTTTTAATACGCCTGAATTTCTCCCCTTTGCCAATCCATACATCTTCCTACATCCTCAGCCATTACATATTTTGGTCCTCTGGCTGAGCATTAGCTTTTTCCCTCCACTCACAGAAATTTTGAATGGCATTTAATTTTGTCATCTTTAAGAGAAACTAGGTAGCTGGAAACTAAAGGCAATTTCTTTTCTAAGTCTTTTTTTTGTGTTCTCTCTCTCTCCCTCTCTTTCATTGATGCTCACAAATATCCAACAAAGAAAGTTTATGTACTTTTTAATACATGGTTTGTTTTCCTACTATCAATAGAATTGTAGACCCTCTTTTTTTTTAATCTATAAGAGGGTTAGATTACATGATCTCCAGCATTCCTTCCAGCTCTAATTCCTAAAACCATAAATTGTAGGAATAAAATTCAGTTGAAGGAATACCTAAGAAGTATTAACTATATAATAGGCTTAGTCTCTCTGAAGAACAGGCTTTTCTTCTGGAGAGTTTCAATTTAATTCAACAAACATTTCTTAGACAACATAGGCCTGGCTGGCACCACATGAAGCACTGGGGATCTATAAGGCCCAAAAGAAACAGTCCATGCCTCCAAGTAATTTATATTCTATTGCTGGGAAGGGAATTGTAGAAGGGTGATACAACACACAGGAGAAGTCCCTGTGGTCCCTTCCTCTGACTGGTTACTTTTTAGAACCTCCACTTCAAGGGGGAGCCAGGGCCTAGGCACAGCTCTACTCACTCTTCCACCAAGAGGACCAAAGTTTGACTTTCAGATCTAACTCTTATTTGCCATTTAGTCTTATACAAGTCACTTAAAAACTCTCTGTATCTCAGTTTCCTCAACTCAATGGAGGGAACCCGGCAAGGTGGCTGCTGCAAAGTCTGAGAGAGACATGATGAGAAGCTGAAATAAGATGGCTGTAATGCGAAAGGAGGAAATGGAAGGATATGAGAAACGTCGTAGGGACATAGCTGATAGTGTTTAGTAATAGCCTGGATATGGGGGATGCGGGAGGGTAAGTAGAAGAACTGAGGATGACTTTTATGCTGCAAACCTGGATGACTGAAAAATGGTGATGTCCTAGACAGAAACTGGGTGATTTGGGGGCAAAGATAATGAGTTCTGTCCTCGACATGTTGAATTAGAGATTCCTATTAGACATCTATGTGTAGATCTCCAACAGGCAACTGGAGATAAGGGGACCAGAGATCTGAAATAAGACAGGGGATGGATGTGATCTGGGACTCATCTGCAGAGAAATAACAGTTGAGCACACAGGAGTTACTGAGGTCAAAAGAGAAAGCTCAATGAGAAACAGAGGCCCAGGACAGAGCACTGTGGTACACCGACACATGGGAGGCAGAATACAGAAAAGTATTCTGCAAAGAAGATGCTTTCACTAGCTTTTCTTTCATGAAATATGTTGTAAAATGATCCTTCAACAATTTCAAGAAGGCAAAATCACCAACATTATCACCAATTTCATCAAAAATTCAGAACGAATTGCTAGGAGAACCCAGAAGATGCTTTAGCCAGTAAACAATTGATTTACTTGCCAAATAAACAGCAATGGCAGCCAAAGGCAACACCACACAGAACACAAGTGGTAAAACATCATGGAGGATAGTGGAAGACTGTGAATTATGTTATCTCATAGGATTGCAAGAAAAGTAATGGAAGCAAAAAAAAAAAAAAGCATAAAAAAGGCTTGCCAGGAGACCCAACTAAGTTACATCATCCTAAGGGCATTCAAATCCAGAACTGGCAGGAGCCAACCAAGAGAGAGAAAATGAAACAGTTGTGTTCTCTAACAATCTCCTTTCATCATCAATGACAATAAACCTTCACATTTGGATCCTGATACTCTGAGATTTCAACGTACCTCTCATATAAGACCATGAGCCAAAAGAAATGTCAGAGGCTAACCTCCTCACTACATAACTGAGAAAACTTGGGCTCAGGGAACTTAAGTGACTTATCAAGGTCATACAGGTAGTACCAAACTATTTGTTGTCCTACCAAGGAAACTGAAATAGTATTTAGAAGGTCAAGTGGCTAGACCAGAATGAACATTCACGGGGGAAAATTGATCTTGAAGGTATTATAATCTTGGAAGAGCTGAAGAAATGTTTATCAAAATATCACAGGGAGGAAAGAACAAAAGGACAACCATACAATTAACGATTATTATTAAATATCTGCTGTGTGCCAGACACTGTGCTAGACCCCAGGGATACAAAGAATGAAAACATCCTCACTATATATATTCTAAAAGGGGAATAATACTTGTTTACAATAAGTAAATCTCTAAGTATACATAGATATAAAAAGATCAATACAAATAAATACAAACCAATTAAACACAAGGCAGTTTGAAAGGTAGGGCACCAGCAGTTAGAGGGACCAGGAAAAGCTCCACATAAAAGGCAGTACTTGAGCTGCACTGTCTTTCAGGCAGAGGGGAGAAAAGAACACATTCCAGGCACAGGGGCCAGTACAAAGGCAGGGAGATGAAAGATGGAGCGTCCTCTGAAAAACAGAGAAGGCCAACTCTCTGGGCTTCTTACAGAGTACGGGCCAGGTGGTAAAGGGTTACCAAAGCTCAACAGAAGAGTTTTTATTTGATCCAAGAAGCAATAGGGAAGAAGTGATCAACTGAGAAGGGAGGGGACATAGTCAATCTTGAACTTAACAAAAATCACTATGGTAAACCGTGGAAAATGGACTGGAGGCACAGAGGCCAATCAGAAGGCCGTGGCGATAATCTAGAGGAGAAGTTTTGACCATCTGAATGAATGCAGCAGCTGTGTAAGCCGAGAAGAGGGGGTGGATGCTAGACCTATCGTAGAGATATGAATGTTAAGATTGGGCAGCTGATTGGATATGTGGAAGGGGAGGGTCAAGAAAAATGTTAATGTTACAATTCTGGAAGAATGGCAGTACCTTGAGCAGAAACAGGGAAGTTTGGGAGATGGAAAGATTTGCAGAGAAAGAGTTTAGTGTTAGATATGGTGAGCGTACTGGATCTCTGAGACATCCAGTTTGAAATGTCCAATAGGCAACTGGTGATGTGAGAGTGAAGCTCGGGGGAAAGACGGGAGCTGAATCCACAGATCTGGGAAACAGCTGCATAGCACTGATCCCTAAACCCATGGAAGTTGATGGGGTCAATGAGAAAGAAAGAAGGCCCAGGACAGAGCCCTGGGGTACATGGACACAAAGCAGGTAGATCACAGAAGATGATCCTGCAAAGGAGCCTGACAGGGAGGGTTCAGAGAGGCGGAAGAACCAGAAGACAGCAATGTCATGAAAACCTAGAGAGAAGAGTGTATCCAGGAGGCAAAGGAAGTCAACGGTGTCAAATACAGGCAAGAGGTCAAGGTTTAAGGGAAAAAAAAGTCAGATTGAGTATCACAGAAAAGCATTCAAGAGAACATGAATAACAACTAACCCATCTGGCTCCACATGTATCAAAGTGATCCTGTATGAAAATAGGGATTTTACAGTCCTTGTTGATACATGGTAAGTGCTTAATGAACTGCTGTTGTTAGGTTGTTCAGTTGTGTCCAACTCTTCGTGACTCCATTTGGGTTTTCTTGGCAGAGATCCTAGAGCCAGTTGCCATTTCCTTCTCCAACTCATTTTTACAGATAAGGAAACTGAGGCAAGTATGGTGAAGTGTCTCGCTCAGGTCACACAGCTATTAAGTGTCTGAGGCCAGATTTGAAATTGGGATGATGAGTCTTCCTGACTCCAGGCCCAGCACTTTATCCACTGTCTGATTAAAAGCCGCAGAGAACAAGAGTCTTAAAAGTTCTCTAAAACAGACATTCTCTCAACCATACATGAGAATATACAGGATTCTTCAACAAATTAAGCCACAGAGAAAACTGTTCAAATGCCCTCTGGTTTTTAACCTTAAGTGAGGCAAAAAAATCAGGGAGATTTATTTTGTCAAAAGTGTATGCCACTGACAGGGAGGACCGTCTTAGGTAAGAAAAAAAAAAAAGCAATTATCTCTTAGGCAGGACACTGAGAAAAAAGATTCCTGTCAGATGGTGAGGTCCTCCAGATGCTCTTATTCTTACATTCATTCGTTCATTCATTTGATAAACCTTTAGTAAGCACCTATGCACCAGGGAGTCTGCTAAGCATGGGGGTATAAAAAGAGGCAAAAGATAGTCCCTTCCCTCAAAGAGCCTACAATCTAATGGGAGAAACAGCATGTAACAACTGTATGTAAAGCAAGCTACATACAGGATAAATAGGAAATAAGTAAAAGAGGGAAAGTATTGGAATTAAGAAGGGCTGGGAAAGGCTTCCTCTAGAAGGTAGGATTTTCGTTGGGACTTGAAGGAAGACAGGGAGGTCAGCAGTCAGAGTAGAGAAGGAAGAGCACTTCAGGGATGGGAAAGCTGAGAGATGAAGTGTTCTGTTCACAGAATAGCCAGATAAGAAGATTTTCATCAAGACTCAAAACATTACAGAGCCTTCACAATAAATACCATGATTCAAAAGGAGTGGGCTAAATGATCGAGACAGGAAACGCTACCTGGATGAAAAGTGTACATTGTCCACACAGTGGTATGCTTGTTGTCTACGATACATACCTCTGGGACAGGAACTGCAGATGGACAATGATGCCCATGAATGCATAGGGAAGAAAACGAGTAATACTGATTTCGTGCTTCCAATGATCCCAAACTATACTGCAACACACACACACACACACACACGCACGCACACATGCGCAGACACACACAGACACATACATATTTTAACGCATTCTCCAAGTAATGCTAGCTAGCTATTAATGACATAGTTACGACTGTCTCCAATGAATCACTGTTGTACCTGACCCAAAGAACAATGGAAAGATACAGGGTGAGCACGTGTAGACTGCAATATATTTTAAACAAAGACTCATATGCTATAAAGTAGTACAAGGAATATAATGATGCAACTATATGGCAAGAAAAGGAAGTAGCCTTGTCATTAAATGAGAGACTAAGGAATAAAAGATGAATGGTCTAAATACTGCAATAGCATTTATTTCCTCAAACAGAACCAGACAAAGTCCTCCAGTAAGCTGGGTAGATCCTCTACAGGGAATCCATAGGAGAACATGGAGAAGAATTACACAAGATGAGAAGGCAACCCTAGGGATGATCAGATCTAGTTATGTGGTGACCTGCCCAGGTCACACTATTAGTAAATGTCTGAGGCAGTATTTGAACCCGGGTCTTCCTGACTCCAAGTCCAGCACTCTATCCACTATACCACACTGCCTTCTAACATCTCTTGAATTAATTTTCTTCTTTCTATTCCCGATGCTTTCACCCTAGTACAGGGACTTACACATTACCAACTCCCCACAAGAGCCTAAGTGGCTTGTTTCTAGTTTCTTTCCTCTCCAATTCACCCTTCAGTTGTTTTGCAGCGGCTCTCCATGTGTAGAGATCTGATCACATCAATTCTCTACACAAAATTCTTCTGACTATTCCTTTCTGCCAACCACCCATCACCTTACCCTGAAATTCAAGGTCCTGGTGCCTCATAACCTTTCCAGCCTTACAGTACACACAACTTAGCATCTCTAATCTATCTCCTGCTTCCCTACTTCTGTGCTTTTGTGGAAAGCACCCTATATCTACATATATTATAAATTTATGTATGTGTCATAACCTAGCACACCAAAATGAAAATAAATATGAATATGCCATTTTTATTTAATCTCTGGACTCACGTACTAGGAAAGATACATTAGGAAAATATCTTTGTTTATCCAAGATATAGGAGATAAAATGGTACCCTAATTGTATCACAGTGATACTGAATGTTTCTTTGTACTGTGGTTAAGGCATATGTACTTTTATAGGATCAGAGATTTGGAGATCAAGGAAGACATTAGAAACCATTGTCGAAGCCTCTAACTTTACAAACAGTGAAACAGACACCAAGAGAGTAAGGGAGTTGTCCAAGTAGTGAATCCAGCAGCCCTAGGATTCAAACATGGGTGTGTGAATTCTAGATCCAATGTTTTTTCCGTGATTCTATTTGGCCTCTACAAGATTAAGAATGATTCTTTCAAGATACCATTAACACCCTTTATTTTCAGGAGATGAAAAACAAATTTAAAAAAGAGGAAAAAAAACAACCTTTGCAATTAACGTTTATGTGTAAAAAAAAAAAAAAAAAACAGTGCCTCAGAAACTAGAACAAATACTCTGGGCTCTGAAAAATTCTATTTTTTCACGTCAATAATTACAGCTCCGCAAACCTACCAAAGATAAGTAGATGAATCAAGCCTTAACAATAAAATTAATTTTCACCAATATAAAATAGCAATTAGGTTAGAAAACTGGCTAAAAAATATTTTATGTTAATGTATTTCATAAAGATGTTTGCTTCTAAGACTCCCTAGAATATTCTTTTAAGAATACAGTCATATAAATTATTTTACTTCTGAAATTCTGTTTTTCATAACCCCCCAAAAAGCCTTTTAAGATTGGAGAATTATATTGAATCTAAAAAGCCAAAACATTTTTCTTTGAAATGTAAGGTTTCCTGTACATAAGACAACTAATAAATTGGTTAGACAATGCATACTATCTTATTATACAGTTTTTTAATGCTTTACTGGAATATAATATCTTTTAAAAAAAATGAAATGTCCATCCTATAATATATGAACATTTCCTTGAGGAATTTGATAAATATGCACCTCTACAAAGAAAGAGTAAAGCAAAGTATTGAAAATTGTCATAGTATTTTTGTAGACATCTTTAAATTTAAAAAATAAAACCTGAAAATCATTATAAACATTTTATTATTATATGATTTCATACGTGTGGCTATTATACTGCTTTCATTAAGGCAGGTTGAAAGGTCTTTGTGACTCAGTAGATGGATTTCATTTGACACTGTGGCCAAAAAATTCATGACCCCACAACTGTCATGCTGATGAGCCCTTCTGAACTTAGCTTAGTTGGTCTTTCGGACAACAGATACAGTTCAGCACCAGGTCTGTATTCAAAACCTTTCTAGTTTTGTATAATTTTCCTGAGTTTATGCTAATGTTGGCACAACCTATGAGAATCCAGAGTCACCTCTATGTCATAATGAGGCACCATGGTAGGACTTTACTAGTAGAGGTATTACTTATATTCAACATTGAAGCTAATAGAACAGAGACATATTATGATTAAATAGGATTAAAAAAAAGAGAGATTTAAAAGTCTCTAGTCAAATCACTTAACTTCTCAATACTCCAAGAATATCCCAAAGATTGTATAAGATGAAGAACAGATTTGGATTGATGTGCCTTGGATAGATGAACTATCTCACTGGGCACTTCCTATGCTGAGAAAATCACAGATTCAAATCCAGAGCCTTCCCAAATGCTTAGGCTTATAAATATCTGAATATGCAGCAATGAATGCATCTGAAAGCCAAAGTGTATGTTTCTTCAGTCTTTAAAAATAACTTTACCTGTTTCACAGCCTACTTATAGATGACCCCATTAAGCCAACTTATTCTAACAACTATTTAGCTGTATGTTACAACTCAAACTAAAAATGTCAAAGTATAAACCCTGTTATAACACACTAGGTGTCCTCTCAGCATCAGGATCAGAACAGGTCCCAGTGAATGTTTTCGAAGACCTTCTTCACTCAGAACTATATTGGTATTGATGAAAATTTACCTTTTATAAGGGCGTTTCCTTTTTGTAGTTGAAACCTGGATCAGAACCATCAACCTGAAGCTTCAGGGCTTGTTTAAGGCTTAACTCTGTCTCTGCAGAAGGATAGCCTTCCAGAACTTCCTGATGCCCTCTGTCCTGTACTGTTCGTGGGACTGAGACCCTGCCAAGGAAAACCTGATTGTTCTGTAGATGGTAATTTGGATTTGTCATTATGCCATTCCTCTTCTTCTGTTCACCACTTTGTTGGTGAATCAGGAACTGCTGCTGAGAGCGCCCAACCTCCTGCTGAGCTGGAGGAACCATAATTTTACACTGTGATTCTGCTGGCATCTGCTTAAGTGGCGTACTAGTCCCAGATTTGGCAACAGGTACCCTTTTATCAAACTGAGTCATTTCATATTCTAAAACTTTTGGCTGTGAAGAATTACTAGGTTTAGGTTTTCTCCCAGCAGAACTAGATTTGCTAGAATTTTCTGATTTCCCCCCCTTATTTGCTTTAGTGGATTTCAAACTGGGCTTTACTTGGCTCCACTCAAACTCACTACTTGGTGAATTATGACTCTGGCCTAAGGATTGTGTTGTAGAAGATGGGGAAACAATTGACTGCCTACTTCGGCTTCGCGGCAACGAATGCTGCTGTATCTGCTCTGTAAAAGACATATTGTGGAAGCTATCAATGGGGACCGTCTGAGCAGTTGCTGTAGAGGAAGTAGTTCTTAAAGAAGAATTTTTGGAGCTTTTAAGGGAATTATTTGACAGTGATGATTTCTGGCGATCAACTGTGGAATCTGGAGATTCTGAAGGAGAGCTGAACGCATGAGTTGGCCCATTAGATAAGCTACGCAATGTAGGCTGCATATCTCCTCCACCAGTACTCCCAGAACTATTTGATTTAATTGTTAAAGACTGCATTTTTGAGGATACTGACTGCAGGGGCTTCTGCTCCATTGTGTGAACAGGAGATGGCGAGCAACCATTTAAACTAGATGCACCGTATTTTTCTAATAATTTAATTATCTGAGAATGTCCATTTTTGGCAGCAACCCGCATAGCAGTACGTCCAAACTGATCTGCATGGTTTGGGTCAGCACCATGTTCTAGTAATATCTGCACAGCATCAATGTGTCCTTCTTGAGCAGCAATGCAGAGAGCAGTGGCACCTTGGTTACATGTGTGGTCAACTATAGCCCCATGTTCAATCAAAACCTGAACCACCTTTACATGGCCCTGCCAGGCTGCAGACTGCAAAGCAGAACGCTTTTCATTGTCTGCAGCATTAATATCGGCATGGTATGTCATCAGAAGCTGCACCATTTCCAAATGGCCCTGCCAGCAGGAAACATGGAGCGCTGTCCTCCCTTCCGCGTCACTTGCTTCCACATTTGCACCATTTTCTAAAAAGTACTCAGCCATCGCAAGCTGGTTTTCCAGAGCCAAGATGTAAAGTGTGGGTCGGCCGTCAGCATCTTTGTAGTCAACATCAGCTCCATGGCTGAAGAGTAGTTCAACAATGTCCCTGTGACCTTCTAAAGCAGCGACCCGCAAGGAATTCCTTCCATCATATCCTCTTTGATCAATGTTAGATTTATTTTCCAGTAATATCTGTACACAATCATAATGTCCCTCTTGGGAAGCTAAAATGAAAGGTATGCGGCCATCATTATCTATTTCATTTGTTCTGGCTCCTTGTTCAATAAGCGCTTCACATATTAACCTGTGACCTTCAAAAGCTGCCATGTGCAATGGGGTCCATCCTGCGTCATCTCGGTGATTTTCATCTAAGCCTCTGTCCAGCAGAGTTCGTACCACCTCAACATTTCCTTGTGCTGAAGCTATGCTGAGAACTGTCCTACCTTCACTGTCGATGCTGTCAATAGCAGCCCCCCAGAATAAAAGTGTGTTTACTACTGAAGCATGACCCATCGAAGCTGCTGCTAAAAGGGGTGTTCGACCATTGTTATCTGTATGGTCCACATCTGCTCCCCCTTCTAGAAGCAAGTCAACGACATCGACGTGTCCTTCATAGGCAGCTACCAACAAGGGAGTCATGCCATCTTTATCACAGTGATCCACTTCAGCACCACGATCAATTAAAAGACTAACTACAGAGGCATGCCCCTTACTGGCAGGAACACAAAGTGCAGCCACGGACAGTGCAGTCCTCCCATCTACATCCTCATGATTCACTTCTGCCCCATGGTCCAGCAAGTGCTCCACAATCTCTCTGTGCCCCATGTACGCTGCAGCTATCAAAGCGGTTCTGCCTTCATTATCAGCTTTGTTAACTTCAGCACCGTGCTGAAGTAAGTTCAGCACGATATCTTCATGCCCGCCCCAGGCTGCCGCTCTCAAGGCTGTTCGACTATCAGCATCTGCACAGTCGACTTTGACTCCAGCATAAAGAAGAGCAGAAACGACCTCAGTGTGACCTCCCCAAGCAGCGGATCGTAGTGCTGTCCAGCCATCGTGGTCATTGTGATTAATATTGGCTCCACAGCCAATCAAACAGTTAACCACCTTGGTATGCCCTTGTCGAGCAGCTAGAGTCAGTGCCGTCTGTCCGTGAGCATCTTCAATCTCCAAATCTGCTCCCCTGGAAATGAGTAGATTAACAACATCGAGATTACCACTATATGCAGCATTAGCCAACAAAGTTCTCCCATTTGAATCACACTGGTTTACAGAAGCTCCGTTATCTAACAAGGTTCGAATAGAATCCTCCCTTTCTAAGGCTTGCCGGACAATACAAGACGTACGATCATCTTCACTGTGGACGTGGGCACCCGCTTTAACCAACAACTGCAGGACTTCCTGCTCTTTGGGGATTAAAGTAGACAAAGAATCTCTGACAGGCGTACCATTCCATATCATCCACAGAGCTAATTCAGAAGTCTCTAACTGTAAGTTTGAATTAATCAAGTGTAATGCAAATTCTTGAGCTTCTAAAGGAGACAAATCTTTTGCTTGACAGGTATAACTCATTGCAAGCATTCTGTGTCCCTCTGCTGCATTACATAAATATTTCTGTGTGCAATGTTTGACATCCAGTAGCCACTCTGCAAAACTATAATGAAACAATATTTTAGTATTCCCTAGTCCATCAACAAGGAGTTTTGAGAGTACATCTAGTTTGCGTTGGAAGTCTTCTATGGTCAGTGACATATTTTTGGTCCATACTGCATGATATAATTCTGTTATGGTTAGTGGTCGACATGCTGCAAGAATCACATTCAGAATAGGTTGAACTTTTGCAAACTGTTTCCTCACAAAAAGTCTCTGACAGAGCCAGAGGTATAGCCCATTGAGGGTTCCAGGGATATCACGGATTTCTCTTAACATAATAAAGTTTTCCACAACTCCATCTAGAACTCGTTCTAGATAAAGAAAACACCCGCTGCTTTTGATATGAAGCTGATTCAACATTTCTGCAGTTTCCTTTGTGAGGTGCTGTCTCAAGGCTTCTTCTTGATCTAGACGATGGAGGATGTACTGTTGGACATCCTTGACAATGTAAGCCTTCCGAAGATCATCAAGACTTATTTTTCGAAAGCCTAGAGAAAAGATACAGAGAGACATGTCAAAGAGTATTTTCTTAAGCCTGAAAAACATCACGGTAGCAGAGGAGCATTGGTAAAAAGATATAAATCCTATACAAAAGCAAATTAACTACTTTAATGAAGACTAAGTTAGAAAGTTCTCAAATTCACTCAAGACAAAAGCTGAAAATGAAGAGTATCAATGTATTCTTATGAATAAGGAAATTGGTCCTACAATTACTTGCTTTTAGTAATTACTAATTCCAGTTGATATATTTGCATTTATTTTACAATATATTATCTAAGCAAGTCTATCTTCCCAGTATGGAATAGGCTCCTGATCTTGGCATAGTATCTATTCTCCGTATTAAATAGTATACAAAATGAGAGGCATACATCAGAATTAAAACAGGTAATAATATATGGATTGTCAGGAACACATTTAAAAAAATAGTTTAGACTTTCTGAACTTCTCAGTTTTTGGGTGAAATTCTGGAGGAGCCAATAGAAACTTCATGTCCACACACCCATGCATTTCTATGCTAATAAATTATATTTTTAGGATCAATTTTGGATATTCAGTAACTTGAAAATATTTCTAAGATTTCTCATCCACCTAGCGCATCAATTTTAATTGCCTTTAAATTAACCATATTTAATTAGACAATCAAATCAAAATCCCTGACTTTCAAGCGAGCACAATTAACCATGTATGATCTAACCTACTCTAATTACATTAACATAATTTTCATATTTATTACTAAATCTAAACTGATAGAAGAGTATGCCCACTAATGAAAGCACAGCTCCATGAGAATTCTAAAATAAGTATGTCTTATTAAATTATGAATCAACAAACTTAAAATATATCATTTCTAATTCCTCTTTTTCTAAACAGTCTACAAAAAAAGACAATACTTTTCCCCCCTAAGGTCAAAACAATGGTAAATAATAGACATGGCTTAATAAAACTATCAGATAATATGTGCTATAAAGAAAAAAAGCTGGCACTTTATACTTAAAATCAGTAATGTTTTTCAGTATTCACTATATAAAAGTGTTTTCATATTGTTATAAACCTATTTTTCTTTTTAAGATTTATTGTTATCTTTTATTTTTAGACCACAGTCAATTCCCCCTTAACTAATACCCAATAAGGCTTCCCTAGGACAAAGAAATTTAAATAAAAAATGTTTAAGCAAAAATCCAAAAATATTTAATCAAAAACCAATATGTCACAATACACACAGACAGTCTCCCACTTCTCAACTGAGAGGAAGGAAGTATGTTTATTTCATCATCAATTCAGTAGGAGTAGGAATGGTAATTAGAATTAATCAGCATTTAACTTCCTTGTAGTGTCATTTTCCTTCACAACATTCATCATTGTGTATATGATTCTCCTGGTTCTTACTTCATTCTTCTGTATCTGTCCACACAAGTCTTCCCTTATTTCTCTGAATTAGTTTCTTAAAGCATGATAATATTTTCCTCCAACCACATATCACAATTTGTATAGCTATTCCCCAACTTTATTTCAAGTTTATAATTACCCACAGCTAATTTTGCATGACTTCACATGTATAATTGATATCATATTGCTTGATTTCTCAATGGGTAGAGGAGGGGTGGGTGGGGGAGAGGTGTGTGTGTGTGTGTGTGAGAGAGAGAGAGAGAGAGAGAGAGAGAAGGAATTTAGAATTCAAATTTTCTAAAAAATGAATGTTAAAGATAAACAGCTAAATAATTAAACAAATAAATAAAAGGTTTATAGTTATAACAAAGTGCTAGTAAAAATATTTCGATATAGATTGGACCCTAAATGCAGTCTGGCCACTGGCTCCTTCAGGGGCTGCAGCCACAGCTACTGAAGATCCAGAAAATAAAGTTTTTCCACCAAAGTCCCAGGCCCTGTCAAATGGTTGAACATCAGAAAGTGCCAGGATTTCAGTAGTGGAGATAACATGAAAGAAAAAGGCTTTTAACCAGCTGCTTTGCTACAGCAGCACCTTAAGCACCAGAAGACCTTTCTATCTGACTTGCCGCAGATACCTACACGGGGTGTTTCCTTCAGTAGAAAGTCAGTCAATAAACATTTATTATGTGCCAGACACCATGCTAAGTGCTGGAGGACAAAAATAAGGTAAAAGTCCTTACTACTGATCTCACAATCTAATGGGGGAGACAACAGGCAAACAATTATGTACAAACACTTATACACAAGATACACTGGTCTACTCAACAGAGCCAAGGCCCTGGAATGGAAGCTCCTCATTATAAAGGCTTCAAGGTTTGCTCTCTCTTTCTGTTTAAGCCAGCTCTTGGTCCCCAAAATTAGCTTTGCATATGCTAATTCGAATCAAGAATTCACCCACAGTAATTGGCATAGAATAAAACGCTTAATAAATGCTTCATTCATTAATTCACCTCAATAAGCTAACAGAACTATTAGAGTAATAGAATCATCTCACTATCCACGGTGCCTTTAAGCTGTATTATTGTCAAGGTTAACTAACTGTACATACAACTCTATTTTTTCCTTGCCTGAAATTGTGGTTGAAACACTGACTCTTTTGGAATCACCTGACAGGAACTGTTACAGCTCCTCATTCATCAGATATGTTATTATTGTCAGGTTTGTTCTCTCTGTTTAAGCCAGCCCTGGGTCCCCAAAACTAGCTTTGCATATGCTAATCTGAATTAAGTATTCCCTCACAGTACCATTCCCCACCTCCACTCCTGCTTCGAGTCTCATCATCACTTATTAGAGCTTGAATCAGAAGCTCCTTCTCCTCTTCTTTGCTTTTCTGATGCCCAGATGAGAATATAATGCAGCATCCTCCATGCCCCCAAATTCCATCTACCCTCAAAGTCCTTTTTATTCCATCACCTCTAATGAAATAATATACTTCAACTCCCTTCTTACTTTTTTCTTCCTAATAATTTCTGAAATTTCATCACCATCCTCGGGCTATTCATTTATTTTTTTCCCCTTTATTCCTTCTACATTGCTCATGTGAAATAAGGCTTTCTGGGATGGAAAAAAAAAAAAGCTCAATTCAGTTCTCTTCTGTCTCATTATTAGCACAATCAGAAATGACAACCATTCCTCCCTGTCTTATCATTTTGTCAAGGGTCTTTATTTGATAAGTGTCATTCTCTCAAATCAAACTCATAAAGGACTCAGTGGGTATACTGATAGACAGTGTCATTTCAGAATCATATGGCCCTGATTTAATTCCAGGCCCCTACATTCATTGTTAATCTATCCTAGGAACAATATATGTTAACTCTGGACTTAGGACTCATTAACCATCCTGGACACTGGTGCCCCCTGGGATGGGATAGAGGTTTCCTAGGATACCTACCTAAGCAAAACCGTGGGAGCCCCACTAATTAAGCCTCTATTAAGCATTAAGTGCCAGTTCCTGGAGATAGAGAAAAAATGGAACAGTCTTTCCCCTCAGGAGGTTCATATTCTATTGGGAAATAACCCGCACATGGTCAACACAAATATGAGATGACCCAGGCCACGCCAAGGCAGACTAGGCTCCAGGGAAGGAGGGTGTCACCTCTCCTTGGCTTGTTGTTCCCACCTGGAGATACTCTAGGAATACCTATCACACTTAGGATAGAGGCTGTGTTTATAACAAATATGGACAGAGGAGGCCCCTACAGAAAATTACTAAATGTAAAGGATTTACAGCAATAAACAGAAATTATGAAACATACACCAAATGGACTAATAGTCCTCAACTTATGATAGCCCTGGAAAGGAGGCCTTGGAGAGCACCAGATAACCCTTTTGAAATTCTTAGGAGCTCCTCTCTTTGAGAGGCTCCCTCTAACACGAGTAACATCCTCTGAAGTCTGCCTCACCCCCAAACCCCACAAAGTAAGCATATTTTGGGGACTGCTGGACAAGCTATGTCCTCTTTCCTATCAGATCTATACCGTTAAGTAACTAAGGGCTTTGTTCTCCAGGTAGGATGAAATGAAGTAACTGTATGGGTTCCATGCCCTTCTTTCTCCACGGAGGCTGGCTGATTAGGAAAGCCCTTTGTCTCTCCACAAGCTTGAATCCCCAGATGCTCCAACCTGGGAAATTGTGAGATGGGTTGTTCCCCATAAGGAGGTGATGCTCAGGAAATCTCCATTCTCTGGTTAGAAGGCTAGATTCCAGGCTGACACTGCATAGGGAATTCAAAGTCTCCCGTCCCCCTCCTCTGCACAGCAGGTTAAGGGTTTGGAACTACTCTCTCAGGCTACATGTAAGCACATGTCTACCTCTGCCATGTGTTTCTGCCACAAGTTGACATTCCTGGGGTAGGAGGGGGATGGAGGAGATGCCCTTCCAGGATTTCCTTACTGAATTCCAGAAGACGGTACACAGGGACAGGAAAAATGCTGAGAGCTTGTTTTTCTAGATCACTAAGCAGGGCAGCTTGAAGCCAATCTACCCAAGTTCAAATGTGTCTTTTTTAGAAGCATCTGCAATCAGAGGATATTAGTATGTGTCCTCTAAGGTGGAGAGGTGCTTCCAAATGGAGGTGCCGGTCAGATGTCTCCAAAGGTCCTAAACTTATTAAGATGACTGGGGAGCTCATGAAATTGATGAGTTAAACATTAGCAATTGTTCATTAGGCACAGTTTTTAAGACACTCCAAATTAATAGTTTTTCATAAGAGCACAAACATCCCATAGCAGGTGGGTCTGAAGATTACATTCACCTCCAAACACATAATTAAACAAATTCGACAAGCAAGTAAAGTTCTACCAAGTTCCTATGGCTCACATCTGCTTTGGTGCTTGTAAGGGCCTGCCCCAACGCAAAATAGTTATAAAAGTGCTTTCATGTCCTATCCCCACACCCCCAACCTAGGATGAGACATTCCTCCAGCTACTTTATGCCATATACCTTCTCTCCAGTCTTCCTATACCATTCAATATTCCCCTAGAGATGAAAGATCACTTCTCCCTCTCCTCTCAAAGTCAGGTTGAGTAGAACTGTGTCT